TGGCGAAGAGATTTTTGCCAGTTCTTCTCGCCCGCTCTACGGGCGTAGACTTGCGAACTGGTTGTAAATGTAAATTTAGAATCAATTTCACATCTTTTCTGTAAACGTTCATAAGTGTACATGGTTACCTATATGAATAAAGTTATTTTGGGTTCAAAAAAATAAAATAAAATATGTTTATTATGGAACATAAGATACATGTATCACTTATTCCACGTCATTCAATTTGAAGGCATCCCTACTCATCGGCAAAGAAGACAGAGGGTGTAGGCCGAGAGAAAAAGCCGGCGTAAAAAACTCTCGGTACTCTTTTAAAACAGCAAATCATCAAACAACACTTATTTAAAACAAATATCGCAAATTAATTAGAAGTAGCCTGTCTAGCACTAGTCCCAGGCCCTTTTATCAACTAGATAATCGTTGACTTTATAGTAAGCCTTTTTACACAGCTTTTCTTTAATACATTTCTTAAATTTATTGAAAGGCAGTGATAAAAGAGCCTCTGGGATTTTAATTTTTATTAAAGAAGAGTATCCCTTTCCCCAAAAAAGAGTTACTAACTTTAGATAGTCTAGTACGGGGAAATTGCAGCCTGCGTTTGTTTCGTGTATTAACATTGTGCGTATGTTCTATTCTAGTAAACTTATCACTATTTTTGTATACATACATAATATTTTCATAAATATATTGCGGGGGAAAGGTAAGTATATCAATTTCCTTGAATTTATCTCTAAGAGATTCCCTACATTTTAAATTATAGATTGCACGAATAGCCCTCTTCTGCAGGATGAAAATAGTTTCGACATCAGCAGCATGACCCCATAATAATAAGCCATAAGTCATTAAGCTATGAAAGTAACTAAAATAAACAAGTCTAGCTGTATCGACATCAGTTAGTGAGCGAATTTTTTTTAACCGCGTAGGCTGCAGAACTAAGTCTCTTCGCCAATCCGTTAATATGAGGGGACCACTGAAGTTTTGAATCCATGGTGATTCCGAGAAAAGTTCTTACTGAGAATAAAATTTAGATTTTCTTTAGTCTTTATCACAATTATGGTCTTCACTGACGTACCAGTTATATCCAGTTAATCGATACAATAGATAATGATTTATTGATCTGTAATCTAACTATCTTATCTATCATTATTAGCTACTTAGTATATCTGCTATAGTTCTTGAAACGTATCGTTATAAATGTGAAAGTATGTTAATTAAGGAATTTTTATTACATCTATTAAATTATTTTATGAAACAGCTTTAGTTTAGTTTTTTTACCTATTATTGTGACAAGGTTTATTCTCTATTATAAGTAATAACAAATACAACGAAATATCCAGTCACAACCCTATATTTTGTTGGCCTCAGATGGGAGTAGGTGATCAGTTTTGCCTGGTTTGCTTACGATGTTTACCTGCACATAAAAACAAAAATTTATCAGGTGGGATTAAAGATTTAAGATTTGCTCGCTCCAGCCACTAGGCCAAAACTGCTCAGTATATTAGCGTGACATAGATTAATTCTTAGAGTTATAACATTTATGACCGATGACGCAGATAAACAATAGTAAACAATGGAAACACATAAAAAAGTTATGTAATTAATACTTGGAACTAATGATCACATACCAAGCAACAGGTGTTCAATCGAAGTAATCAATCAAATCTCAAATTAAAATGAAGTAATAATAATTTAAATTTGAAAATTCATTCACGTTCATATACTCCTTATGTGATTAACTGTCACGTGGTGGTAGTAAATAGAAAACCAGTGAAAATGCCTAAAGCAAAATTGAAAAAGTATATATTTTTATGTACATCGGTTGTCAATCTAATAGGCAAGGAGGTGATCAGCCACCTGACACACGCCGTCGACTTTTTGGTCTAAGTTAGAGCGAATGTTAAATGCGCACATACAAAGAAAGTCCATTGATGCACAGCCGGGGATCGAAACTACGACCTTAGGGATGAAGCCACTAGGCCTACACATTGGTCACATAAAACCGATTTAATAATAGAAAAGCAGACTTACATTAAAATATTATCTAAAAAAAATAATTTAATTCCTACAGTTAATGGTCTGTATAGTCTCTATAGTCTATAGTCTGAGCAGTATTGGCACACCGGCTTGAGCCTGCGACTCTTATCCCTAAGGTAGGTTCGAGCTTTCTATGTGCGAATTTAACAGTCGCTCGGAAAGAAACGTGTTGGAAAGCATGGTGAGGAAACCATAGAACATAACAGGGCATACCTTAGAAAGCCACAGAGGGCCGATCACCTACTTGCCTTGCTTTTTTTATCACGAAACAGATACAGAAATCTGACGCCAAGAAGAAGGGTTCTAGCGCCACTGTTTTATTTTGTATTTCTGTATAATTTCACTTTGCTTTTTAAATTTAATAATTTAACTCAATCAAACTCAAAGACAATAAATAATCATTACTATGAATGTTTAATAAACTATAATTTGAGTACAAATTCCATTGTATTAATTACATTGATTATATATCAGGAAGGCTATATTTTACATAATACTTTCATTGATATATCAATATATCATTATATTATCATCGATAAACTATTTATCTGGATATAACCGGTGCGTCACATTTCAATAGAAATATTTTAATCCAACAAAGCTGTTTGACTAGCGAAATATATGATATCAAAAACATAACTCATAAAAAACAAGTATTGCAACGCAGTTCTACCGTAAAATGTTGTGAGATCCATGTAATACCAAGTCAATCAATTTATTCAGTCCCTAAAGGAACCTTCTGTCTTAAGCTAAAAAATATTTTTTAAGTTTATTATTGTATATAAGATCACTTATTCCTCGTCATTAAATTTGAATCGGTAGACATCCCTACTCATCGGCAAAAAACAGAAGACAAAGGATGTAGGCCGAGAAAAAAAGCCGGAGTAAAAAACCCTCAGTACTCTTTTAAAATATCAAATCATCATACAAAATGACTATGGCAAACAACACTTGTTTTAAAACAAATACCTATCGCAAATTAATAAGAAGTAGCAGTAATAAGCCTAGCTATAGTCCCAAGCCCTTTTATGAACTAGATAATCGTTAACTTTATAATAAGCCTTTTTACACAGCTTTTCTTTAATACGTAATTAGCTAACCTAACAACTACTTCAATTCTTCTTATACTGTTATGTTTGCTATGGATTCTATACTATAGCTGGTATTTAAGCCAAATTCCAGATCACTGCTACATGTGTCAAATTCAATAAATTCCTTCTAATGTCATTTTCGACACCTTGGTCAGCGAACATGCCAATAAAAAACATTCAGAACATTGTTTTTCTTTTAATTTTAGTAGGATTTAATTTACAAAGCTTTGGTTTGCGTTCCCTTGACAATGGAATTCTTGAAACTCCTACTCATAAAACTGAGTTCTATCACTCCTCCTTGTACAAAGTATCCTTCCTGCCTTGGAACTCCCTTACCTCTTGTTATCAGACGAGCTCAGTCTTTAAATTTATTTAATAATCTTCTTTTTGAGTATTTCTCTTCTGCTTCGTAATATGAATTATGACTTTTAAATTTTTATTAATAGTATTATCATTTCTTTTACATTTTAGTTTAGTTTTAGTTAGTTTATTTCTAGTGTTACATGTAGTTTTATGTTTTTTTTTTGTTAATTATTTATGCACTCTTGAAGTTTACCAATTATATAATAATTATTGACCAATTTGTGAATTTGTTCAGAGAGACACGATCTTTTTATAGTTATATATCTATAATTGTGTTAATTTAACAATCACGACCTCGCAGTAATAATAAAATTATGAATGCTGACTGGTGTCATTTGAATTTGGATTATAAACAAAATACAAATCGTACCTTTCTTCAATGTTTCCCTTTTGCTGAAAATTCTCAAAGACAACTCAATTACTGGAACTAAAAGATATCAGTTTAAAATCTTAGATAGACTAAAAACAATGGATTTTCGTCTCACTGCTACTTTTGTCGATAGTAGAGCATTGTTTATCATTGTAACGTTTTATAAGAATTTATCAAAAGTTGCAAAATACATTTTTAAATAAAAATTTCACTCGAACATGGCAATAAACACTTTCTATCAGTTAGTTGACCTCGAATCGGTTAGAACTGGCTACAACCGCCTCGATCCGGTTCAAGGCGGTTACGTCATTGTAACTTTCCGACGCCATCTTGAATATGCGCGAATAAATTGAGACAAACATACAAAGAGTTGTTTGAATCGTTACCTTATGAAGATGATTGAAGTTTCTAAAGATTGGAATGAGCCAGTTATAATGATATTTTGTATTGACGCGACATGACCAGACTGATTTTTTTTATTCTTTATTTTTAGAGGAAGCCCATAGACATCACGCTACGAAATTAACACGAGTGAAGCCGTGGGGCATAGCTAGTTATAAATAGAAATAATACTTTTCTGTATTTTACAAGTCATTTTATTCTTAACCATTATATGGTAAATCTTGGTTATTCTGTCAAATATCATTTGATCGTTGACAGTTGACAGTTTACTGTTTACATGTCTCTCGTGATTTAAGGGTTTTATAAAAAAAATACTTAAATTGATCAATTTAGGTTTTATGATTTCTAACTTAAATTATTATTATTATAACTATTTCTAACTAGTGTTTTTTTTTTATAAATTTAATTAATATATTATACGGAACGTGATACGTTTGTACTGGACACACACATGGCGGCTTTTATTTGATAAGCTATGCGGAAATTACCTAGGTGTTTACAAACGGTCAGCTCAAAGAATTTTATGTATATAACATCATACTATGTGAGGCATTTCTTTAGTTATTTGTCTGACGTCCGGGTTCCATTACTGCTTATCGCGAATAGAATCTACGGCTGGTAGGAATTACGATTAGTTTTGATGACAATTTGTTCCGTAAATTGCACAAACAAACCATTTGAATCCACAGTATTTTTCGATAAAGAAACAATTAAAAACCAGTGCCAAAACAATGTGAAAAATGTCGTTTTTAAAAAGTCTAAAAGAAAATAAGAGTGTGTTAAGCCTGTACTCTATGGTGTCATCTAGTGATCTGACACCAGGCAGCTTGGAGGTGTGGCAGGATCTTCCAGATTCCATTAAATATGATCCAGCACTTGCGCCGTTTAAGCAGCTATACGAACAAAGATATGGTGAGTTGTGGTTTCATTTTACATACATAATAGGCATTTAGCCGTACCCAGAATAGTTCATTAAATTAATTTATTAAACTAACATTAAATTTAATTGAAAACGTTAAAGACGAAGAAGAAATGTTATGGTTTTAAGTATTTAAAAAAAAACATAAAAATTCTTCCACCAAAACCAATGGCGGTTATTTTCAAAAATTCTTCCACCGAAATCTGCTTTAGGGAAAATTTTTAACGTGTATTTCTTCTTCAGGTGAGCCATTATCTCCAGGGATAATCGATTCATCGCCTGAGGAAAACGGGAATGTTTTGATTAAAAAATCAGACACTGTCATAGCCGTTGAGAAAAATGAGAACAAAGAGAATAGGTAAGTTTTCCTGCTTAATTCATGGACAAAGACATAACATTTATTATTAACAAAAACACACACACACGTAAACACATAAAATAACAATAATAAAAAAATATAATGAGAGATATTTATTAATTTCCCTTTTCCCATTCGGTTCGTTTCAAATGTGTAATGCGTGGTTGTAATTGGCCCTGGGTCAGCATTATGCTGAGGAGCAGAATATTCCAAAGCGCTGGTCATTCTGCCAGAGACCACAGCAGCTAGTTTGCGCATCAGGCGCAAAACAAGAAAGAATTGGAATCGAATAATACTTAGTAGAAAAAAAAATATTAGTAAAAGTTACCTATGTAAGTAATTAATTCTTGTGTAAAGGTGTGTAGTAAATAAAAAACAATTAAAAGGTAAAAATAATTCTGTTACAATCTGCAAGAACAGAATTACCTAACTTCGTTCGGATTTAATTGCATCTGGGTTTCATCATCGGACGTCAACGCAGAATACAAAATACCATGCGTATCACCTCGACGTCCGTCATTCCACAACTGAGCGTTTATCGAGGTAGTTTTTACCGCGCACCGCCCCTATATGGAACAGCTGCCCACTGAAGTATTTCCGAACCTATTCGACTTAGGGTTCTTCAAGAAAAGAGCGTTCCAATTCTTAAAAGGCCGTCAACTCGCGATCTCTCTTGCATTGAGCCCATGGGCGGCGATATCACTTAACATGTGCGCTTCCTGTCTGTTTGCCTCCAGTTACATATTAAAAAAACATTAATAAATAAAAAAATACTGACATTACACTATTTTTTTCAGAAAATCCTCAAAAAAAGAGAAATTATCGTCACGCAAGAAACAGGTACATTTTTATATTAATAAATTAAAGATATAATTTTTCAATTTTAAGTTTATTGTTATTACCTGTGATTTAGAACACCCAAAAACTCGCAAAGCCTGTACGAGCCAAGGCTGTACATTTCGCTCCCTCCCGAGTGAGTGAGTGAACTTTCTTAGTTTTATAAGCGTGGCGAATTCCTAAATCGTCGGAGTTACGGCCCGAGAGTATAGACGTAGGCACTCTCTTCAACTGTTACATTGCATTCATTCGTTACATAGCAATTAACATTTCATTATATCGCTTATATTCTATTGTTGTACGCAAGTGAAAATAAAATGCTCTATTATTTAAATCACTCCGATGACCCAGGACCCGATGCCTAAAATTCTGATTGTAAATGCGATCCAAAATTTTTCTCAATCTGTTTATCTTCTCAATATTAGTGAGTGTTAAATATGCACATAGACAGAAAGACCATTAGTGCACAGCCGTGGATCGAACCTCTAGGATGCGAGTCACACGCTGAAGCCACTAGGCCAACACTGCTCCCGCAGTACTCGTAAAACATAGACAATAATTAAATTATTATTACCCACAAGAATGTAAGTGCGTGCTCCTGTTTCACCATGCCTCGTGCTGATAGAGGACAAACCTTTGTTTTAATTTATTATTATTACTTAAGATGTCATGTGGAACGTGGTGTAATGGTTGCAGCTCCTTACAAACTTTGGCGGAGAGTTAATTGCCAGTTCTTCTCTTCCGTTCTACTCCCTTGATTTGAGAACTGGCAGTAAATGTAAAATTAGAAGCATTTAATGTATATTTCTTTTTTGACGTTCATGTGTAGGTTGTGTTAGGTACCTATATGAATAAATGATTTTTTACTTTTATTGTCTCCCGAACATTGAAGATAGTAATTAGCCTCATTTAATTATTTAACATAACCTTATTTATCATAAATAATATTTAACATAAAAACATTCAGTCTCTTAGACCTTTAGACACTTGTCAATCTCAAAATAACTTTATTCATATAGGTTAAGTACACTTATGAAAGTCAACAGAAAAGATGTTAAATTGATTCTAAATTTACATTTACAGCCAGTTCGCAAATGAAGGGCGTAGAGCGGGCGAGAAAAACTGGCAAGAAACTCTCCGCCACTCTTTAATCGCCAAGTTTTGAGTCATATAAATTGTTCTACTATGTGTTCTACTTGTTCAACTTACATGTTATTTCAGATTGAAAAGTGGCTAAGATTCGCAAAGCTCACATTATTAGTAGCCGGCTGGGTGGTGCTTACAGTAGCGTTGCTACTTAACAGAGAGAAGACCGATGTTCTACTCCACACGGCTGTCAGTGGTGGTCAAGTCAAAGGTTTGTACTGAACGAAAGAATACTTAAATATTGTCGCAATACAGATAATTGGCAGATAAGCCTGGGACTTCCGTCATACCGTAAACGTCTTCGAAGTATATTGGAACCAAAACTCCTTAGGATTCTTAAAAAAGTCGTCATCGCATTCTCGAGCCTTCTGACCTGTTATATGGTTTATGGATGAAGCTGTATACAAAATACCATCCGTATCTGGCAGATATTGTTCCAGGAAACGGTCGGCTGGTGAGCAGGTAGCGGAAGGGTCGGCCAGTTCCTACCAGCTTGTAGTTTAGGCCTTATACCTTTAAGATATTATTAATATACAGTACTAGCTGTACCCTGCCACGCTTCGCAGTGGCACATTGTGATTGAATGGTTGAGAATATATATAAATTTAATCATAAGAATTATACAAAGTGTTATAGATAATAAAAGTATTTTTGAAATTCCATATCGGGTATGCCCGAGATGCCCATTTTTGGGGTCCGTTAATTCAATTACCCAATATTTATTTCAGAATACGTACTAAACACTTCAAGAGATGCCTTCAGTACGCTAATCACATTAACGGGCCCTTTTGGAGGTCACAACACCTCAAAACAATTAACGATATGGTTGCGCAGGAGTTACGAAGATGGCGAGGCGCAGGTGAGTTTTTTTTATAAGGCCCTGCCTTGCGATTCTGTAACTCACTTTTCGAACTCACACAGCGGTTTTCGCATCGGCGGTCGCTCTCAAATCAGTCGTGAAGCAGTCATTTTATGATTTGGCATTCTGATAAACAATAAACTACAAGCTCCCACCTTTTCAGGCAGGTACCGCAACCCATGACCACCCATTTTGTTAGCCGTTGCCGACCTTTGAGGGATGTGTATGTTTTTGTAGTTATGCTTCTGTTGGCGCGTTAGGGAAAAATTATGAGAGTAAATTTTTTCTATCAAAAACTTTAATATACATTGCAAAAATATTACTCGCATAAATGACAGACGATATACTATCTAATTGACGTGATTTAAATAAAAACATATCTGTTGCTGAGCACCCCTAATGATGTCAGCTTGACATAACTGCAGTACCTCTTCGTTGGACGAAAAACAACCAACGCGGGTACTCTCAAACTTCTACTTGCGACATCTACATAGGGTTTTCCTAACTACTTTCGATTAAGTTGAATATTCACTGCTCTGAGCGCAAACTTAGAATTGCGGTGCAAAAAAATTCAATTCAACCAATGTAAAGACAAATAAATAACATAATGTCTTTTATGTTGTTATTAATATCGTTAGTTCTTAATAGATATGCAACTAGCGGCCCCTCCCGGATTCGCACGGGTTGACATTTTTTTTTTAAATTTTGTTGATACTGATATGTTTTTTTAATATTGTGGAACATTTTTATTGTTCTATCATCAATCGTTTTTGCAGCGCGTGCGATGAAATATATTTTATAGGCATTTTTACACCTTGGGTAACATTATTGTAATTTTAGTATGGATCCTTATTTTTTCTTGCAATTAAAATAGCCTATAATAATCAGTGATAATGTAGCATACAAATGGTGAAAGAATTTTTAAAATCGATTTAGTACTTTTTGTGCCAATTCGCAGGGCCGCGCCGACCCCCGGCAGCGCCTGTGTGCGAAACCCATGAAGCGCCTCCTTTTTCTATAGGGGTCAAACGAGCCTTAGGGACGGAAAAAAATGGCAGTCATTGAATCTCATAGACATTTTTAGCGGGTGTGTTGCAGGCCTTTGAGGGAACTCCTTCTATATTTCGGCCTATTTTTTAAGAATCTTCAAGTTTCAATGTATTTTTTAATTTTGACTGAAAGAAAATTTTTCTTTAGTTTAATCCACTTAAATAGGTAAAACGTCCGCTGGCCAATTGCCGCCCAAGTAACACGTAATCTGTATATTCACTGAAGTAAAGACTGATTTACGTTTTAAAGTCAGACTATCACTTTAAATCAGTTTTGACTTAGTTTAAATGCTTTTCAGTAGAATGTGGTAAAATTTATAATGCATGAAGCTATTGTATGGTCTAAAAAATAAGGTTAATTGGCTTATAATCATACTAAAACATTAATTACTTTTAATATACAGCACCTTAAACAGCATTTACACTAACACAAAGGTTAAGACCTTATATTAGTAAATAAGAAAACCTAATACATTAAATAAACGTTGTCGAAATACTTTATAGTGAACTTAGATTTATTAACACATTTTTAAGATTAAACGCATTTTTATAATCTTTTCTTATGCTTATTTACAGCTAAGCATTAGCCAAACATTTACTAAAGTTTTAGCTCTGTTATCTTCTTACTTTATTGTTACTTTAAAGCTTTCAGCACTATTTAGATAAATAAAAATTTAATTTTATTACTATAGGTCATAATTTGGCCATAAAACCATGAGTAGTATGATTATTTTCATTTGTGCGTTAGTATATATATATACTCATTAGTAATTTTATGTCGCACGTGTCACGTTGTTGTCATGAATAAACAGTGGAAAAAGACTAAGAGAACAGGTGGAGTAAAGAGAAAGATAAAAATGGAATACTCAAATTTTATATCTGGTTTAAGTAATGAAAAACGTGTTCCAAACAATGATACTCTTGATACACAAAATACAGAACAATCGGTAGTTGTGTATGAGCCAAGCACCGTTCAAGAAGTTCTAGCAAGTGGTTCCGTAGTACCGTTTTCCATTTCTTTTTCAATATACGATCGCATCTTCATTTCTTTTTCCATGTCTTCTTTAACATCTATATATTTCGTCACTTCTTTGTCAGCCTGTGTCTCGGTATCTTTCACTTTCACTTCATCTTTCTCAACTTCTTTAGTCACTTTTACCTCTTTAACTACGTTTTCATCCACGTTTTCGGAGACATCTGTAGAGTCTTTTTCCATTACATTATCATCTTCCACTTCTTCCATATCTATCTCTTTTATTATTTCTTCTTCCATGTCTGTCTCATTTGTTATTTCTTCTTCCGTATCGGTCTTATTTGTTGATTCTTCTTCCGTTTCTTCTTCTAAACCGTTCTCATTCACTGTCTCTTCTTCTACCTCTTCTTCCATGTCTATTTCTTTCACTATTTCTTCTTCCAATTCTGCTCCCATACTCGTTCCATCTTCCGTTTTACTGCCTGCGTTTTCTGATACTGTTGCATTAGTTTCTACTCTCTTGGCCTGTGTAATTTTGTCCGGTTTGTTTCTTGCTTGAGCGATTCCTCTTTGATGGTTTTCGCAAGTTTTTAAAATTTTTCCTTTGCACAGCATTTCGTAAAACTAATTTAAAAAAATTTTCATTGTCTTCAAGGGTATAGGATTTGTCCCAGGAATATATCAATTTGAAACAGAAATTTAAAATATTTTTATATTTTTTCAAAGGTAGTTTGATTGTGCTTCCCCTGCTGCCTCCAGACCACGAACATTTGCATAAAAATTCTCTTGTGAATAATAGATCTATCAATCTATTTTAAAAGGCATCTGAAAAAAACAATTGAGCTTATTTAGGACTTAATAGAGAAGGTACTTTACCTTAAAACTAAATAAGTACCCGTATAACGCGTGCCCTTAAAACGTATTTACAAAAAGTTCCTTTAATTACAATGTGCGAAAAATAAGATTATAATATCGTGTTTCAATTCACTAGGTACTTTTATGTAGTGGCACGCTTAGCGTAGGAGTATACCTACCTTAGTAGGTAATCTACCTTATTATTCCTTTCCTATACACACTACAACTAAATTGGTACCTGTAAGGGATCGTGATCACGCCGGTGTTTAAATTAATTCAAAAATAAAATACACAATATTTAGCAAATGAGCGCGCGTCGTCACAGGGACAGGAATCAAGTACTACTAATGAATAGAGGTCGTTCTCTTGGTGCAAGTGACGTCACGTTTTGTAGGGATTGTTGTTTTATCGACTTTAAGTCGCACGTCCCGTTCGTTCTATTCGGGCACATGATTCAGGGAATTCCCCAACTCATTTATTGTGATAATGATTTTATACTAACACTTGGCAAATTATCTAACTGGAGACAGATAAAATATGAAAGACGTGGAGTAGGGTATCATGTAATTAAGGGATTCTAAATTATTATTTCGGTACCCTGATTAACACTATAGCAATCCATTTTTATGACGTATAAGGGTAATAAACATTATAACATGCCTAAAAAGTGTTACTATAATGCTAAAGATATCACTTAGATATTTTTTATGTAGGTTGAATGACTTAAGCTATTTTTTTATACTATAATAAGACTGACAACATTAAAAGACACTAGTTGAAAGTTTAGAACATTAATATTACATGACGCCATTTGCTTTCTGTTTTCTCGAACATAAAAAATAAAATTATAACACACATATGAATGAAATACTACTTATTATGTTTTTCTTATAAGCGAAGTATCGATAGAAACAATTTTATACGTTAAAATTAATGAAATCGTTAAAAAATTACAAAAGGTCAGCTGATGTCGATTCTAAATTTGTCCCTATTTTTTATTAAAAAGCATTTCTGTGACGGCGCGTGAATTATAAGCCACAAACATATATATATTTTCACATAAGACTAATATCCCCAACTCATTTGCATTCAAAACAAAATAAAATTGATGTTTGTCTTACCTTATGATAAATTATTTTCAATGAAGACACATTAAAACGTCTCCGCACAACACCAATGCACTGCAATACACTAAACGAAATATATATAATCAATTCCGACATATAAGTTTCGATAAGTTTTTTCACTAACTTTGGCATTGTAATTCAAAAAGCTGTATCAAAGCTGTACTAACATCTAAAAAAATGCTTTTTACATTAGAATATGCTGTCTCACAACTTTACTAATGTCTGTCTTCAATAACATTATAAGCGCTGGTTAGCAGCACTAATAATATTTAAAAATGCTCAAAGCCGTATTATTTGGGGCCCAAATTGAGCTTATATGACACTTATAAACTTATAAACGGCTGATATAGTGCTACATATGCTGCTCATATACTGTTTTGCACGTAAGTCCATGCTGTTGTACGCTTCTTATAATGTTGTTTTGTGTTACTTGGGCGTGAAAAATAAAACGTGAATTAAATTGTTACATAGTTTATTTATGATGTTATTTTTATCTAACCGTTTTTAAGGTCAGATTTATGACATATCTTTGTAATAAATCCCATCTTTTAGTAGAGGACGAAAAATATTTATATAGTTCTTGCACAATATTAAAAAACGCAGTCGTGTATGAGATGTGCAGCGTCATTTATTATTAAATTTAAACTATGGCTGGCGCACGGACATAAAAAGTGCGGAGATTTACTCGTACATCCCGCAATATTCTTACCGCGCATATTTGAGCCATTATCATAGCCTTGCCCCCTTAAGTTCTTTATGTCCAAATTAATTTCGTTTAGTTTTTCTATTATAAATGACGTTACTCCAGCGCCAGTTGTATCTACGATTGAGCAGAAAGTGCTATTATAAATTGGAAAGCTAGGAAATGCTCTCTTATTCTTAACTTTCTAGTTTACATGTTAAAGTTGACAAATCTTATTATCATACTAATTTGCTCTTCGTGTGAAACGTCAGTAGTACAATCCAGTATTATTGAAAAATATTTATTAATTCGACATAAATTTAAAATAAAATGTTGAATTTGGTTACCGAGTATAAAAAATAGTTCATTTTGGATTTTATCAAGGTATGTCGGCATATTATTGAAATCATAAGACATAAACACACTCAAAAAACTCACGGCGGTCACCAGCGGCCTTTCTTTTGATTCGCTAAGCTCTGAGTAATTAATGTAAACTAAAACCTAAAGCGTAAAATGAAACTTCAAACGTACGTAAGAATATTGTAGTGTAGTATAAATAATTTCGGTGGCGGCGCCCTTATTGTATCAGCGCCTGTGTGCACCGCACACTTCGCACACATGGGCGGCGCGGCCCTGCCAATTCGTTACAAACATACTTACATACAAATCTTTCCTCTTTATAATATTAGCAACACGTGCGATTTAATCATTTTAGTTTATGTTATCAAATTCATGGTAACAAAAAATAAAAAAGAGGTCTAGATACGTTTAAGTCTTAGTGTCACGATTTAACCATTAAATACTTAAATACAAAGTTAATAGTAACGCACGACCGGCTACGGAAAAAACAGATCATTTGACACCGTTTAGATAAACTAGGGTAATTAACTGTATATTATTTCAACTACATTGTTTTATATAATATAGACTATACTTATATAACAAAATTAGCTGCTATTAACTTCAATGCGGTAATTACAATACATACACATAGATAAAAACAACACATCATTATGTTTAATAGATTAAAATATTTACAAAAAGAATAATTACTTATTTCTTACAGTATAGGAACTGACATGACGCAGACATTTTGTCACGTCACTCAACGGACAATTAAAAACATCCGTTAATCTATGCAGTTCATTAATTTCTATACATTGTGTCATATTTGCCATTTTCGAGAGGTTAGTTTTCGCTGAGGGTCGCCGCCTAACGTAACCATCAGGCCATCGGTGGCCTAGGCACTGCCGGATTGTTTTCATTTCCACGTAACAGCTTTATCAGATGCATGGTAAGATCAAATTCTCGGTGCACTCTGAAATCGTTGTAGCCCACAGAACCCAGAATAAAGTTGGATACCTGGGCGGGCACACACCGTACATTCTACAATACAGAGTACCTACGTAGTTCTGGAGGCATACAAGCTTTTATATTGAGCTTAAATGACGACCTTAAATTAACTGAATTGTTATTTTATTCCATGACATTAACGGAGACTTTTGCTTGAGATACATACATGTAAGGACTTTAATAACTCTAACCATATATACCGTACAAATTTTCTTTACATATAAATAAAACAATAAACATATATCTTTAATTAATTAGTTTTTTTTGTCTTGCGGAAGCCCTTCAAGGGATTTTTCCAAATATCTGTCCATGAATTATTTCTCCATTCGCTTCTATTTTTTCTATCAACCTTTTTGTGGGCCCCCTCTCCATATAGTTGTCTCGTCCACCTTTCATCTGTGTATTATATCATAGCAGTATTAATGTATAATACTTGTCTTGCCATAGGATGTTAAACGGAAGTTTCTCATCTAAATATCAAACATGTGAAGAGGAGAATAACGATTGTTTATCATTAATTGTTGATCCGGTGCTGTTGCAGACATATGTTTCAGTAAATATTTACACCTTTTTCAATGTTTATTCCTATGTTTCCCAATTGTCCACGATGTTCTCGTACTATGTTTAAGAAATTCTTGTTATCAGATGCCATATAAAAGCCTAAATTGAGAAGCCTCAGAAATCTGATATCGTTATGTTATTGGAAGGTCATCGTTTACTTACTTTGAGTTATATGAGTAAACATAAGCAATTTAATGTAGCAATCAAAGTAATGATTTAGAAAGAGTTAAGTTAATCTGGCTATACCCTGAGGTTCAGATTGAATCACGTATGTTTTTGCTATCTATTCATTTGACATTTGATCGGTGAAGGCTAACATTGCAAGGAGACCGGCATGTTTTAAAACCCAAAATCTACGATATACATATGTCGTGCACAGAAGGCTGATAATCTACTGATCTATCAACGTAGATATATCCTTATAATTAATCCAATTCAATTTATAATAAGTAATAATACTAAGTATTAGTATTATTACATTCTTATTCTTTTTTTTGCGACTGAGGCGCAAACTAGCTGCTGTGGTCTCTGGTAGATTGACCAGCGCTGTGGAACAGTCTGCTCCTGAGCATAATGCTGAGCCAGGACCAATTACAACCACAGCACACATGCATTACACACTTGAAACGAACTGAAAGGGAAAAGGGAAACAATATTTTTTTGTTATCTCTCATTGTATTTTTTTCTTTGATTATTGTTATTAATAAAATATTATATTACTATTCAGAATATCCATAGCGTCCATCCCCTGCATCATGAGCACACCCCACACACCCTCCCGTACATACCCTCACACACCATTACACAACACAGATGAATTAGGTATTACTTCGTATTTATTGTATTTAATCATTTTTATTGATTTTCTCCTTTCGTAAATGTTGAACCTTTTCGTATATATTATCTTCGGTTATATATTTAGTATAATTGAGTATTTTTTGTTATCTATAATTTATGTTAGCTGTAGGATATACGAAATAAATAAATACGTGAAATGTCGCATTATTCCGATAAACAAACATAATGTATATAATATATATATGTATCTTCTTACGTTACAAAGGTGGTGTCATTTAATTTTTTATTGTTTTTTTATGACCGCATTGTTATTTGTCCTTTGTACGAGTAATACCTACTGATTTTGATTGATATCTTTTTATTACTGTCCTGCTTGAAGTTATAATATACAGTAGAGCCTTGATAATCCGAACTAGCAAAAACTAACCCCTGTTCGGACTCACGAAGCGTTCGGATTATAGTATGTAAGGAGAAAAAAAAACATTTTTATTCTTAAAATAGTGTTTAATTATATACATAGTTTAAGAGGTACAGTAAGCAACGAGCTGGGCTTTACATATTGACCTTGGGAACGCTCTTATTACAAGCAGCGTAAGGACTACAGTCGTAATGCAAATAAAAAGCCCGGCTCGTTGCTTACCGTACATTTACATAATAATTAGGTACCATAAAATACGTAAGGTGTAAATTGTCTATTTAGTCATAAACTGATCTATTTTAGTTTGGCGAGTCCTGTTGATGGACCAGAAAAAAGCTTTGTCCCTCAAGTTACGTAGCATCATCTTTTCCGATAAGGACAGGTCATTTTCTTCAGCCCACTCCAAGCAAGTGTTCAAAGATGATATGGCTTGTGAATGAGTAATTTTCTTGACATTTGAAGCAAAATAATCTTCAGCTAAAGACTCGTCATTCTCTTGCGTTATTTGGGTTATGATCTCATCATCAGTTATAGGATCTGTGCAATTCTCCTCTTCACTCATGGACAAGAAAGTGGAAATGGTTTCTTCTGTATAACCACGATTACGTAAAAGACTGAGCGGGAGATCGTCTTCTACGTCGAAGTCATCATTTTCTTCTGATCTATCTTCTGTTGAATTTATTTTTTCAGGCCAAAGAGGCTTCCAAGATTTTTCGATAAGAGACGATGATACATGATCCCAACATTGCGCTAGCGAAAAAATGGCGTCTTTAATTGTGACGCTTTTTATAACATCATGCAAGGTTAAAGCCTCATCGGCTGCTTGCTGCACGAACATTTGAATCAGGAGTTTCTTTTTGTAATTTATCTTGACATTTTGGATTACGTTTTGATCCATAGGTTGGATCAAAGGCGTACAATTTGGAGGCATGTACAGTACAGAGAAGTTGCCGTCTTTTGTTGTCAAATCTTCAGCATTTGGATGTCCAGGGGCATTGTCTAAGAGTAGCAATGCTTTTTGTGGCAGTCCCATTTTTTTAAATGGCGTTTGACTTCAGGAACAAAATGGCCTCTAAACCACTCGAGAAAAATATCTCTGGTTACCCAAGCACGCCTCTGCCCTTCATAATGCACTGGTAACTTTACAGATCCAAAAGATCTTGGCTTTTTTGCCTTCCCCACAACTAGCAATGGTAATTTGTGATTCCCTGTAGAGTTTGCGCAAGGCATAAAAGTTATTCGCTCTTTAGACACTTTCGACCCAGGAGCGCTAGTTTCAGCAGAAGAGGCTAAAGTTTTGTCCGGCAGAACCTTCCAAAACAATCCTGATTCGTCGGCATTGTAAATTTGTTCAGGGCAAAGGTTCTTTTCTTTTATCTCGTTTAGGAATTTTTCTTGGAATGGTTGAACAGCTTCCGTATTGCTAGAGACTTTCTCACCTGACACTTTCAGCTGACGTATGCCATGACGTTTTTTAAAATTATCAAGCCATCCTCTACTTGCAGAAAAATCCGAACCTGTTTTTTATGGAAGAATCTCGCTTTTTCCATTACGACCTCACCAGACAATGGAATGTGGCGTCGTCTTTGTTCTAAAAACCATGTGAACAGTGCTTCTTCTAGCACTGGATTCTCTGGTAATTTTAGAGTTTTTCTGAACCCTGGTCCTTTCTCAGTTTTAGCTATAAAAGATCTCAATTTTTGCTCATTTTTCTTGAGGTCTGTAATTGTTGATTTTCCAACGCCATACGTACAAGCAAGAGAAGTTGCCGACACTCCGTCCTTTAAACTGTCTAGTATGGTGCACTTTTCGGCTATAGTCAAAGTTTTATGTTTGCGTTTTGGTGTTGGAACCATCTTTATAAGCTCAAAAAACACGCCGCGCACGAGTACAGAGCAGAAAAACGTGGAATGGACGCGCAACGTGGCAGTCGTAACTGCAGACTAATTAATAAACAACATAGCAGCGAGGCGAAGGCGAGGAAGTGGGGTGGGGTATGCAGTTCGGATTATAGCGACGTTCGGATTAGCCTGAGTACGGATTATCGAGGCTCTACTGTATATTATATAATAAAAACAATAACTTACCTTAAAATATTAGGTCCTTACATATGAAATTGGCGTTTTGTATAGGAGGAACTAAAAGTCGAATATTTTTAAATATAATATATTTATTTAATCAAAGTATGCACCATTGTTTTCTATGCACTTTTGCCATTTCATAGGTAGTTCATTGATCCCTTTACTAAAAAAACCAGTCGGACGGGAATCAATAAAATCTGTGAAGGCGATTTGGACTGCCCCATCAGAATTAAATTTTTTCCCTTGCAAGAAGTTGTCCAAATTTCGAAAAAAATGGTAATCTGTTGGAGCAAGGTCCGGGGAGTACGGAGGATGTCTTAGACATTCCAATTGAAGCTCTTCTAATTTGGTAGCCGACTGTTGTGCAGTGTGTGGTCTAGCGTTGTCGTGAAGTAGCAGTGGCGTGGAGCGATTGACCAGCCTAGGTTGTGTAGCCGCTAGCTTTTCCATCATGGTTTGCAATTGCTGACAATAGACATCAGCCGTAGTAGTCTGGCCAGATTTGAGAAAACTGCAATGAACAATACCGGCACTAGTCCACCAAACGCTTACAAGTAACTTTTTTGGGGTTAATTTTCGCTTGGGGCAGGATTTGGCTGGCTGGCCAGGATCCAACCATTGCGTTGAGCGCTTCCGATTATCGTAAAGAATCCATTTTTCATCATAGGTAATGATTCGGTTTAAAATACCTTCATTATTGTGCTGGTTCAGTAATGTAACGCAGCAGTCGACGCGCGTTTGCCGGTTTGCTTCAGTCAATTCGTGAGGTTGACCCATCTTTCAAGCTCCTTAATCTTCCCAATTTGCTTCAAGTGAATTAAAACAGTTTTATCACTAACACCGCAGCCTGCAGCTAACTCGGACGTGGTTTGCGATGGATCCGCCTCCACGATAGCCTTCAATACTTCATTATAAACTTGGGTCTCAGGCCATCCAAGGGGCTTGTTCTGCAGGTCGAAATTTCCAGAACGAAAACGTTGGAACCAAAAACGAACTGTGTTTTCTTTTGCAACATGACCGCCATACACATCATTCACCCTTCGAGTCGTTTCCGCAGCACTAGTGCCACGGCGGAACTCGTACTCGTAAGTAATGCGATACTTTAAGTTTTCCATTTTGTAAAATGAGTGACGCAAACAGAAAAAAACAGAAGAAAAAAAGAAATGAATGACGGTCATCGAAGCACAAATACATGAGTAAATAGCTGTACAAATTTGAATTTGGAATTCCTTACCAAAGAGGAGAACGTCGTGATTAAAGTGGCCAGTACGAAATACGCCAATTTCATATGTAAGGACCTAATATAAAGACTTAAATATATTATTAAAAGGAGTCCCTTTAGGCAAGGTTCCGAAGATACTGGCAGCGTTCCCCCTTTGAATAGTTAGACTAATTCTTTGTCCGAGGTAGTTGCCAGCTCTTCGGTCTCTTGTGATTCGATTAACCTTATAATAATTTAGTTATAATTACAGCATTATAATGTAATATGTATTTAGTAAAAAAGATGCCTACAGAACGGCCATGAAAGGCTGTTTAATAATTTGGTGCCTTGCCGGCCTTTGCGAGAAGAGTAGGCTCTTTCTCTAAATACTTCTAAAGAACCTTTTAGTTTTCTTATACGAATACACAAATGCCTTTGTTCTGCTTTCAAAATTTATTATCACCGCTCGGCTATTATTTACATATTTTAAGATTAACAACCGAAAAACAAGTTTAAACTTAAGCTCCTTATTGTTGTAGTTAAATTAAAACATCCTTCAGATACATAAAAGTTACATTGTTAATTACTCATTGTTAGTCATGAAATTGCTAATTTGTTTAGCATTTAGTTATTTTATGACACTTGTTGAGAATGCAATTACCGAGACTCAAGTATTTTAATGACAGCTTGAAAAACCGTAGGACTTGTTCATGACATACAGAATAATAATTCTTAGTTTAAAATGTATTCGGCCTGCCGCGTTTATCTGTGGCCCGTCTAGAACGTCACTCAAACTCAAATCTGACTTTGACATTGCTGAAGCCGAGATTGTCACATGAGTTACCCTTTGAAATACGGTTTTAAAACTCGAGTAAGTACCGAAGGGATTTCATCCATAGAGGAAAGTTTAGGTCTATAATTTATTATGATACGATAAGAGAATTACTACCTACTTCGAGAATAGGCTCCGGCCTCCCCTATAGCTATTCGACGGTTGCACGTTATACAGTGGGATGTCGTCACAACAAGATATAGGTCTATCTTAAATTTTGTCTTAAAGCAACATTCCCAACTAATGTTTGACCCCATCACGCTAACAAACAAACGCATAACTTTTTCTATTTCCTTAGGTCATTTTAGTACAATAAACTTAATTATTCCTTAAGTATTTACAGTCAAAATAAATATGTAAAATAGCTAAATAAATAGTGTTTAAATTTACGATGCAACAGAAGTTTTGATATCGATTTGACGACTTTAAATAAAATTCATTATTTCATTATTGTTTTATTGTGTTATTTTGTTCGTTACTTTAGTTTAGTCATAGTATGTAATCATATATTTGTTGTTGTGAAGGCTGGTGACTTCTACAGCCCTATAATAGGCTCAAGATGATCTATACCTGCAGCATGTTAACCCGCAAACTAGCTGCTGTGGTCTCTGGCAGAATGACCAGCGCTGTGGAACATTCTGCTCCTCAGCATAATGCTGAGCCAGGGCCAATTACAGCCACAGCACACACGCATTACACACTTGAAACGAACCGAATGGGAAAAGGGAATTTTTTAAATTGTTTTTGATATCTCTCATTTTATTTTTTCTTTGATTATTGTTATTTTGTGTGTTTTTCTTTGTAATAAATGTTATGTCTATCTGTCTGTCCGTCAATATTTTGAAGAGGCAAATAAACTTTATATAGAGTTCACAGAAATACACGAAATCTTCGGGCTTAAGGTACTATTTATGAAATGAAATGAACTTTCTAGACTGAAAAATAAGTAATTTTGAAAGCATCTAAAATAAAACTTCTTAAACGGAAATTTGTACATTATTTTACTAAAGTTACCTACACAATAAAGGCCGGCAACGCATTCACACCCTCTGGCATTGAGAGTTAACTTGGGCGGCGGTATTACCAAACATCAGATGATGCCGGTTTGCCCCTTGTTTTAAAAAAAACTTATTTTAGGAATCCTTAAAATGGAACATCAACCTGCAACCAGATGACGTGATAGACTTTTCTCCAAGTGCCTCCGAATCCAAAATACTCACTCTAGAAAATAGGGGGCATAATAGGAAAGAGAATAGCACAGAAGATGAAGATTTTCGAAATGGTATTTAGAATAACATTCTTTTATTTGTATACATGTATACCTCATGTCATGTCACCCCCAACAGCTAATATTTACCGATTCACAGATTCATACATTTAAATTTGACCCCAAATTATTTTTAAGGAACAGTTACGCTTAGTATGTCAACGAACAGCAATAAGACGGTGCCACTCACTCTCACGTATCAGCTGGATCCTTTGTCAGAGGAAGATGGAATTATATATGCGGCTCTTCTGTTGTTGACGCTTTATGTTTTAATTATTTTTGAGGTAAGAACTATCTATCCATATTCATATATCCATATATCTATCTTTCGTTTTTGATGTCGAGTCTTTACCTTTAAAAATCCAAAAAAATAAAAAAATTTACTAAGACATGGAACATTACGATAAGTAATTTAAGTCTAACCTTATTTCATAAAAAGGATATTTAACATAAGAAAGTGTCCAATAACACTACAGTCTCTAATAAAGGGAAGACACTCTGTTCTTGTGTCTATTTTTTCACTAACCACTGTTTAGCACTTAATACTAACGTGCACTAACACTAATTCACGAGTTCAAATGGTTTTGTCCTTTTCATACTTCTCACTAGGCCCGTGGTGTCAAGGAGTTGAATAGCCTCGACACACGTTTATTATAATAAAAAAAAAATATTTAAATTTCTTTATATTTTATTTACTTTATATACTTAATAGACTTGGTCTATATCTAAAATACCTTTCTTTGAACAGATAGTCAATCGGACAATCGCCGCGCTTCTATCGTCATCCTTAGGCATCGCAGTTCTGGCAATCAATGGCACCAGACCAACACTCCAGGAGCTGGTCTCGTGGCTGGACTCGGAGACGCTGCTGCTCCTCTTCAGCATGATGATTTTAGTTGCGTTACTTGCGGAGACGGGGCTATTTGATTACCTAGCAGTTGTTGCTTTTGAGGTAAGTTTTATGCCAAAGATCTTACCCTAATATTCAGAATGTTCAGATTTTTTGCATAATAATATAATATTTTTCTAAATTGGACACTTTTAATAAAACAAAGGACTCCTACAAAAATACATTTGGTAAAAAAGACAGATACATCTCTGTACAATAAAAAAGTAAACATAAAATAAACACATTGGATGTATCAACAAAAAGTTTCACTAATAAAAAATATCATACAAAGGAAAGCAAAACAAAACATGACAGCACAAAATTTATAAATCCGGGGAACGACAAACATACTGATAGCTATAAAGATACAAGGATTAGGACATTAAAAGATGTTTTAAATTATTCTTAAATGAAGCAGTAGGGGAGTGCGAAAAAGGGGTCGATGTTAGTGGCAGAATCCAAAGCAGAACACATCCTGTGAAGAGCCACACGGAACCCGATGTTCTGGGAGTCGGAAGGTTAAAAAAATACAAAATTTACTCTTACTCTTTATATAAGGGTCGCATAGCCTAGTGGTCTTATTATGTACCTAAGGGGTATCGGGTTCTTTAAATTTAAAGGTTTAGGTTTAGGTTCTCTGCCTATGGGAGGGTTGTGCGTTACAGCTGAGTGCTTAAACCGTACATGGCGGGCACGGTTAAATTTCTAAGGCAGGGAGTGAGAAAATAGAGAAAATAGACTGTGAGGTTAAGGATGTATGTAACAGTATAAACTTGGGATGGTAGTTGCAGGTTGGCAATTCAACATTCCTTTTCTGGTGTTGAGGAAGCCGAGAATTCTGTTTGGCTACTGTCCAAAAGTGGTACGAAGACATAGAACGGTACAGGCAATTCGTCCAGGACTTAGTAACTGGACAAATAGAAAACCTTACCCTTCCTCTCATGGAGGAATTGGATGGATGGATATTTTGGGCGATACTTGCATGACATCGTGCGGCGGGAACCAATACCGAGCTGGTTGGAGCGTCCGCGGTGGTCTCATCTACGTCATAATCTTTGACCTGTGATGGATAAACCTTGTTCTGCCTTGTGGTATCCAAAAAATGATCGAGGTATAAAATGCGGTGGTACCCTTCTGTGAGCAAGTAATGCTACAGAAGGAGGCAGCAGAACGAGAGAGGAGCGCTTGAGGACGAATCCTAGGGTTAGAAGACGCAGAGTAAATAGGAGAAGATTTGCCCATCACCTACCTCTTATGTAGTTTGTGCTGCGTGGGAGGTTTTTGAGCACAACATACCGTTGAGGTCTTGGGGAGTCGTGGACTTCAAGTGCACAGGCGCTAATTAAAGATTTATGTTGGCGCCCAGTAGATAGTACCGCTGATCTCAGAGCTGGTGCTTTCCTCGCTCAACGAATAAGTATCCTAACATAAGCGAGGAAATGCTGCCAGCATTAAAGGTATACTGTCACAGGGACCAAACTTTTTCAATTTGTTTTAATTTTCTATTTATACATTTTTAATTATTATTATTACTATCTGTAGTTTAAGATATTATAAATACTGTATATTTGTTTGTTATAATTAATATAATATATGATACTATTTATCTTTATTTTATTGGAATTCCTTCCGACCTTTACTCGCATAGTGGGTGAAAACCGAACAAGTTTTATAAGTCTAAGTTGACACTATCGAGGGGAACTTCAGCTAAGAATTACAAGCCTCTGCTTTCTTTTAAATTTAGGATGTACAGATAACACTGATTTCCAGGTCACCGGAGGAAGGACCTGGCCCCTGATCAACTGCCTCTGCTTCTTTACCGCTTTCTTTTCCACATTCCTGGACAACGTTACTACTGTGCTGTTGATGACACCGGTAACAATCCGGTAATATATTTATTTGAACAATATTTATCGAAATAAATAAATGAACATGTTTTGTGATTTCAATAACATCGGTCTCTCATCTTTCAGATTATGCGAAGTGATGCAGCTGAACCCAGTTCCCGTTCTGATGTCAATGGTGATCTTTAGTAACGTGGGAGGGGCTGCCACTCCCGTGGGGGACCCGCCCAATGTCATCATCGCCAGTCATCCATCCATATTGAATGCGGTGAGACAATCATAACAATTAAATAACTATTTATGGAAAAGAGGCGCAGGAGGCTGATCACCTACTTGCCTATTATATTTATCATGTAACAGATACATCAATCTGAGGCCCAGACCTAAAAAGGCTACAACCCTTTTAGGTCTGGGCTGATTCACTGATTTTTATAATTAAACTAGCTGACCCGGCAAACGTTGTTTTGCCATGTATATTATTTCTAAGAAACATTGTTTTAATTTAATAAAAATAACTATCTGCTATAATAAAAAATAGGAGTTGATCGTAGAGGGGTGTAAATTAAGGGTTGTATGTACGTATATTTTTGTATGGATCATAAAAAAATACAAACAAAAAAATTTTTTTTGGGGTGGACCCTTATTACTAAGGGTTTGAAAGATATATAGTAGCCGACTCTCAGACTTACTGAATATGCATAAAAAATTTCATAAGAATCGGTTGAGCCGTTTTGAAGGAGTATGGGAACGAACATTATGACACGAGAATTTTATATATTAGCTATATTGTTTAAATCTTTTCACAGTTCATTTATGAATTGTCGTTTTCAGTTATTATTTCCTTATTTTTGATTTTCTGTCTATGATAACTTTAGTTGATCTATAAGTCATGAAATGCCGGCTTCGCACTCGCGAGCCCTCTGGCATTGAGAGTGTTATTTTTTTAAATTCATTAATATCATTATAATTTCTGGGGATTCGATTCGATTCCCTGTTAAATTATTTCGCAGACACACGGATGAACAGATCCATAACAAGATTGTTTCATTATTAATCTTTCTTTCAGAATATAAACTTCACAAATTTCACACTACACATGGGCCTCGGAATACTGTTCGTGAGCGTACAGACATACTTTCAACTCCGATTTATATTTAGAGACATTAATTCATTAAGACACGCTGTACCAAGAGATATTGTGGGTAAGTGAACAGTTTTCGCATGTAATTGCAATGTACAGGGTGCTTAGATCGCTGCTTCGAAGTAATAAGGCGTTTCAAATCTCAAATTTATATGTGGAGCAGTGTCGGCCAGTTCAGCGTGTGACTCTAATCCCTGAGGTCGTAGGTTCGATCCACGGATGTGCACCAATAGACTTTCTTGCTATGTGCGCATTTAACATTTGCTCGAACGGTGAAGGAAAATATCGTGAGGACTTTGCCTTAGACTCAAAAAGTCGTGTGTCAGACACATCAGACTGATCACCTACTAGAATACGTTTTTTTTGTATTTTTTCATATACATATGTGTTTTCCAACTTAATCCCTGATTATATGTAACAAGGAATAAAATAATATTTATTATTTAATTATTAAAAAAAGGAACATGCAAATATTTGGTACAAAATTTTCGAACGATAGATTCGCAGGTCCTTGACCTCTTGAACGAATAAGCAGAGTTCAAGGTCGAGTAAAGCACATCATATACATATAATGCTATATCTACAGTATATGTTACAAGCTATCTTGTCTAAAATATATGACAATTATGGTAAATATTAATGTTACAAAATATTAAAAATAAAAATAGTACACTTTTAATTTTAGATTTTACTTTGCTTAACAATAAGCAAAAAATTACCAACAAAACAACAAATTAGGTATCAAATAGGCACTTAAAAATGCTTTTTTTAATTAATCATATTTTACATACAAAAGTTATATATGTATAGTATGTGTTTGTACTTCTATTTTGAACCTTACGTTTGTGGCTAATTTTCCCATTTTTCGGATCACCCAGAATCAGGTCTTTGTCGACTACGTCTTTAAATATTTAAATCTTCCAGAACTTCGTCAAGAGCTGGCCGTTTGGAAACGTGCGTCGGCGTCCCTCAGTCCCTACTCAAGAGACGAGGACATAGTCAAGCGGGCTCTGGAAAAAAAGGTCGAGCAATTTCTATACTTGAGCAGTGTTGGCCTAGTGGCTTCAGCGTGCGACTCTCATACCTGAGGTCGTAGGTTCGAACCCCGGCTGTGCACCAATGAACATTCTTTCTATGTGCGAATTTAACATTCACTCGAACGGTCAAGGAAAACATCGTGAGGAAACCGACATATCTTAGACCCAAAAAGTCGACGGCGTGTGTCAGGCACAGGAGGCTGATCACCTACTTGCTATTAGATTTAAAAATGATCATGAAACAGATTCAGAAATCTGAGGACACGACCTAAAGAGGTTGTAGCGCAACTGATTTATTTTTTTAATTTCTATATTATATTTAGTGTGTCCTAGCCTATTTTGTGCCATGCCCCATGTAACATACATAATTTTTAATATTAAAAAACAAAATAGTTCACTTAAGATACTCAAATGATAGGTTTTAGGAAAAAATTCTAGAAAATTGTTAACGAAACACAGTAAATAAATTTTCGTTTGCACCCCATTGGGGCGTGGGTCCCACATTGGGAGACACTGATTTAGACAACTATTGCTTAGTACAGGGTTATTGCTTAAATCAAGCTTCGACTAGTTATAATAAATATAAAATTTTCCAATAAATATCACATGTTAAATATTTCTTATGTTAATATAATCTTATGTTATAAAATATTTGTTTGTGAGCCTCTTCCCGTTTGCTTTACACATGTCAGAAGTGAAACTTCTTTGAAGATTAATTATTGAGTAAGTAACCCGCCCAAATACCATAATTTAATTTAGCCAGTCTTTCTATATTAATAAATGATACTAAGGCTAATTAAAAACCAGAACTAAAATTAGTTGTTATGTATATAGAAATACCTCCATAAATATGGTAACAATTACCAAATAATATAACAAATTCATTATTATCATAATTGCTAACTTATGTCCACATTTTTTAAAATAGCCAACTGAGTCTCAGAAAAAAGGTCTTGGTTCTGTGCTATAAAAATACAAAACCCACAAAAAAATTGTAATTTAGTTACTTATACATCAACCAATAGCGTGTTGTTCATGCTACGTTCGCCCTTTCTCACTGTCTCTCAATCAATCTCAATCGCTCCCTTTCTTAGACAAAATCGCTGCACATCTTTGTGACGTTCCGTAAAAATTTTACCCTCATGCGCCTAAATAAGTTTTACTTCAAAAATAATCTGTACCCTAAATTATTAAGAATGTTATTTTTACTTTCGTTACTTCTACAATGTATACGTCCTTAGTGTATGAAATATGTTTTATGGTCGATATTTTTCAGGTACAGAGACTAAACGTTCTGTTGCTGAAAAAAGAGAGCGGAAGTGGTACGAACAAGAACGACCCGCTTTTCTGTTCAACTCTTGCGCAGATGAAGGAAAAGGTATGCAACACGTCGATAAGACATGCAAAAAGGCATACAGAAATTTGGGGTTCATATTACGAACAGCTTGTAGCTTCACAAATATCAGTGCGATTAAAATTTTACACAATGCATTAGTCAGAAGTCACTTGGAGTGCAATGCAATGGTGTGGGCCCCATATGAGGCTAAATACAGTCTCATGTTAGAGCGAATACAAAATAAATTCACCCGTTACCTCTACAAGAGACTGTATGGAGTGTATCCTTTGTATCCGCTTATGTACCCGACCCTGTTTGTTCTGGGAATGGTGGGCTATGACCAGCTACGCCTCAGAAGAGAGCTAGCCTTGTCAGTGTATATATTTAAGATATTTACGGGTCGGGTTCATAATCTGGATATAATGGAGAGACTGAGTCTACGGGTACCAAGTAGAAACCTGAGGCGGAAGTCTCAACTTTTGGATGTACCGCGCGCACATTCCAACTTGGTTAGCGAAGCACCACTCACGCGAGCAATAATTATAATAAATAGGATTTCGGTTGAGGTAGACCTATTTGTTTGTACACTGGCTGAGTTCACAAGAGTTTCTCCCTATATTATTAGTTATAAAGAGACTAAGACCCCCGAGTTTGTTTCGACATTTCTTCTCAGGGCAGTCAGTTAGGAAATGTCGACTTCATCTAGTTTAGGATGACATTGTAAAAGTGATTTATATAGTCCTACTTGCAAGAATAAACTATTTCATTTCATTTCATTTCATTTCATAAGATTTAGGTATATAAATATAAATATTTTTTAATGTTTTTTATCTAGGTTAATTGGTGTGGGTGTAAATATTGTATCGTTCTATCGAATTAGTAATTACTGTAAAGATAGAATAAGGATATGGAATAAATAAATAAAAAATAAAAAAAGTAATTATTAGTGTATAAACTGAACTCTTAGAAAATATTTAAAAAAAATTAAGATAATCATAATTTATTATTTCGCTATATTTACGGCTTTGAATGTGTTCATTTATTTTAAGACATACAAAAAATGCAACAAAATCGACATTTCTTTCATCCTTCGCCAACGTATACCGTATGCTATTTTACCTGTACGTAGAGCATACCAATTCTCAAAAGGCCGGCAACGCACCTTCTAGCTACAATAAAAAACATTGGTTTCTTTTATTTTAGTTACTGTAATCTATTCCTATCGCTTTCAGTGTTCTAAAAAGAGTTATATGCTTTTTATTATATTAAATAATCCTAATGTGATATATTTCAGTACCGTATCCGAGACAAGCCACTGCTTATAAAAGCCTCCATTTGCGTCACCTTCGTTGTGGTGGTCTTCTTCCTACACGCAATACCACAGCTGCGTAAGTATTTATTCATTCATTTAATTATTTGCTAATAATTTATGTAGCTATGTGATTTCGGGGTATATGCCAAAAACAAAACATATAAATTTAAACATATAATTTTAGTTACCTAAAAAAACGTATTATTATTATTATACCGTACAAACTATTAACCGACTTTTTAAAAAACCTGAATGGATATACGAGATATGTCGTATAATAGATAGAACTACATATGATGTTCTTCTGTTGGTCCACAAATTTCTCAAAAATGAAACATTACAAGATCTTTGACTGATATTTGAAGTCGATTTAATTTTTTTTTTATAGAATGGTAAATCACTTATCCACTCAGTTAATTTGTGACTACCCAATGCTAAGAATGTTTAGCGACAATCCTAGGTTACAATGAAATCATTCTTTGAATCGCGCTACTAAAAGTTATTCCAACCCTGATCAAATACTATAAATTCCCATTTTTAGGTTATATATCCATCCGTATTATGGCATGTGAGACGGTTATACAATATTATACTCGTATATTATGTATTGATAGTTGGACACTGGCTGAATTCACAAGGATTGCATTATTTATAATTAGTTATAAAAAGGTTAAGGTTTTATGATTTCTTGTTTTGTTTTTGTTCTTAGTTTAATTTTTATATTAATAAGTTTTCTATTGTATTAGTATTGTTACTGTAAGAATAGAAAATAAGGAAATAAATAAATACATGTTTATGGGGAATATACTTATTTCCAACAGTATTTACCTACAATATTCTCAACCTACATAGTACATATTAAAAATTATTAAATAGAAAATTCTAACAAATTTAAGTTTGGTGAATTATATTTTTGTTGCAGAAAATCTCTCTCTAGGTTGGACAGCATTATTAGGCGCTATTCTCTTACTCCTACTAGCGGAGAGGGAAGACCTGGAGCCGATTTTGGCACGAGTTGAGTGGTCGACTCTCCTCTTTTTTGGTGCTTTATTTGTTTTAATGGAGGTTTGTGAATGTTATAACATATAATAATATTAAGCCTTTATTATTATAAGGAATATATAGGGTGTCTCAGTAAGAGTGCACTTTTTCATTTTTAAATAAAGACAAGTATTTTATGACAGAGTTCTGATATTTTTATTGCATTGTAAAGAAGACAACCAGAGTCTATCATATTAATCAGGCATTTCTTAAGGAAGTCAGCCATACTCGGGATTTAGGTGTGATTCTGGATGGTAAATTGCGTTTTAACTTGCATGTTGATGATATTACAAATAGGGCTTTTAGGATGTTGGGCTTCGTCCTGCGTAATTGTAAGGAATTTAGGAATCCCAGCACTAATGTTACAATTTACACATGTCTCGTACGTAGTATTCTCGAATATTGCAGTCCTGTGTGGAATCCGCATTACGGTATCTATATCAAGCGCTTGGAGAATGTACAGAAGCGATTTTTATGGCACCTATCCTATGGTTGCAACATGGCTAGGAAACTTCCTAGTTATAACGATCGTCTATTACATTTTCACCTTAAATCACTTCGTCATCGTAGAGAGCTGCTTGATATCATGTTTCTGTATAAACTTATAAATGGAATTTTGGATACCCCTGATATCTTGTCCAGAGTAAACATTTCTGTTCCTAAAAAAGCTGCAACGATTTGCAAAGCCTCCTTTCAGAATTAAGTTTGCAAAATCAAATCTGGGTCAGAATGCTCCATTAAATAGATCTTTAAGGAGTTATAATTTAATTCATAGCGTTGAAATTGATGGTGGTATTGGATCGCAATGGGGGGGGTCGTGAATTCCCCCAAATAGATCTGTTTTCAAACTCCCCATCAATTTTCAAAAAGTTAGCGGCTCAGCTGATTACTCATTAAGACTATGGGGTTATTCAATTAATTCAATTAATTTTGTAATGTTTTTATTTTATTTTATTTTATCTTAACTTTATTTTTTCTTCTTTTAATGTGTTTATAAAACTTTAGAATGTTGTATGCGCCTATAATTGGGGTAGCACTTGGCTTGTGTTTGTGTTTGTGTTACATTGCTTGTATTAGTGTTTACTTTGTTGGTGCATAAATAAATAAATAAAATAAATAAATAAGACATGTTCCGATTAAGTATGGAATAAAATGTCCGGCAAATAACCTCCACGGCTCCGATGACAGGCCATTACACTTTTCATGAAATTTTCCATGACTTTTGCACAGAGATGTGGCTGTATCTCACCGATGACGCGTTGGATTTCCGATTTGAGCTCAGGAATGCTTTCGGGTTTATTCGCATAAACTCGAGATTTCACAAAACCCCAAACAAAAAATCGCACGGCGTTAAATCGCACGATCTTGGTGGCCAGTTGACATCAGAATTTCGTGAGATAATGTGTTCTGTTCATCGGAGAAAATGACTTTTTTCGAAAAATTGGCATCGACTTCCCTTTGCTCCATTACTCATTGAGAAAATTGCCGGTGCTTTCCTTGGTCTGCTGGTTTGAGCTTCTGAGTTAAGTGAATCTTGTACGCATGAAGGTCTTTAGTCAAAATTTGCTGCGTCGAATTGATGTTTTCGGGTATTCGGCGACACTCTCGTTTACAGCAGTCAGCAGCAATGTTTTCAAGGGACAGACCGGTACGTTGACGCAAAAGATTCTTATTATCCATAATTAACCCAGTTTCTTAAAATTTTTTGACCGCTCTTCGAATGGTTGACACATTAGGTGCACTTTCTCGGCTGAAAATTTGGTGAAGTTTGCGAGCGTTTTCATCGTTACTTTTGTAATGAGTTTTCACAATTATGACTTGTTGTTCTTTCAAAAAGCTCATCATTTTTAATAATCGGAATAAACAGAAGTGACACCTGTCAAATTTCAGAGTCGTCACTTGCAGGAAAACAAAAATATTACAATTTTAAAAAGTGCACTCTTACTGAGACACCCTATATATGCCATCAAAAACATATAATGCAAAAACCAAGTCTGGACACGCAGTTCTTCTACCGTAAAAAGTGGTAAAAACCATGTGTTACATCGGTCAATTTATTCAGCCCCTGCTTAAGGGACCTTCTGTCTAAGTTATTACGTAATTAGCTACCCTAATAACATCTTATAGTAACCATATCAATATCACAAATCTTTTATGTTTTAAATAAATACATTAAGTGTAGTTTTTCCTTGATATATATAATAACTAGCAGACCGGCCGAGCGTTGCTATGGCTAAGGTTTTTGTTATATTACATAGTAGTAACCTATTCAAGGAAAACGGTAGGAGTACCTACTGTAAGGATAGTTTATTTATTTTTGTAAACAAATAAATAATATTCGTAAATAACTAATTTATAATGAATCCCGGTAAATAGTACATCAAACAAATATGATTTTTTTAAAATAAATAATGAATTTTAATCTTCTATAGATCGTTTTTTGTTTCGAAACTCCATAAACTTCCTCATTAAACATTTAACGCCATAAGACAATGTGATTTCCAGGTCCTGGCCAAGTTAGGGCTAATAGCATGGATAGGCAGACTGACAGAAAACCTCATTTTACAAGTTGGTGAAGAATCAAGACTAGCTGTAGCCATTATGCTGATCTTATGGGTAAGGAATCTTTGACTCCATCTTTACAGTGTTGACCTAGTGGCGTCAGCGACTCCTATTTCTCAAGGCGTAGGTTCGATCCCCGGCTTCACCAATGGAATTTTTATGTGCCCATTTAGCCCTCGTGCAGGAGAACATCGTGAGGATATTGGCTTATACCCAAAAATTCGAAGGCCAAGGAAAATTGACACCTGACTTGAGAAATAGTAATGGTCAGACGCAGAGATCTCAGGCCCAGACCAGGTTGTAGCAGCACTGGTTTCATGTGATTTCATAATATATGTATGCTAAAACGGTAAAATTAGTTTTTGTCCGTGAGGGTATTTCAGATATTTTTTTTTAAATTAAAGTTTCCTTGTTAGATAGTATAAAATAAAAAATATAAATTATTGTCATTTGCGGTTCCACTTGTGGTTTGAACCTAAGTCCTCTATTTTTCAGTTTTTTTAATTTCTTAACACAATTTTACTAATGTACTTTAAGGTGTCTGGCCTGGCTTCAGCATTCGTGGACAATATACCACTGAGTACCATGATGGTACGAGTAACGGCAGCCTTGTCTGATCCCACTGGCCTGGCGCTACCACTGCAACCTCTGGCGTGGGCTTTAAGCTTTGGGGCTTGTTTGGGTGGTGAGTATCATGCGGTGTTTGGACGGTTCTAAATGAATAGTTAAAAACAATAATCTCACATATAAGTTTTCGTTAATTTTTTTATAAGTCATATTTAAAAGATATCGCCAATTCAAATACAAATCTAAACACTTTGCACTCACGCCTTGGCGTTGTTAGTGCCCATGGGCAGTATCACCTTGCATTAGGCGAGCCTCCACACTGTTGTATAAGAAAAAAATATACAATGAACTTGTTAAGTTTAAGGAATTAGATATTATGACACTTTCTGGTCAAAGTATTCTTGAAGCCTTGTTGTATGTACAAAAAATATAAACCATTTCAAAGTAAATGGTGACTTTCACCAGTAATACTCGAGTAATAATCGAGTATTACTCGAAACAGAACAGGAGGGAAATTTGAGAATTATCACTGAATAAGTTAAAACTTTCGTTAAACGTAAATTAATTAATAAATTATAAATTTCAAACAATTTGTATGACTCAAAACTTGGCGATTAAAAAGAGTGGCGGAGAGTTTCTTGTCAGTTATTCTTGCCCGCTCTACGGCCTTGACTTGCGAACTAGTAAATGTAAATTTAGAATCAATTTAACATCTTTTCTTTTGACGTTCATAAGTGTACTTGGTTACCTTTATAAATATAGTTATTGTGAGTTTGAGTTTGACCCAAAGATAATATTATTATGTGATTATTGACAGATAGATATCGTAGACTTGTCTCTGATATTATTTATTTTTAGTTATTATGTTGTGAAATCAGTAATGTTTTTAGGTAACGGAACCCTTATTGGCGCCAGCGCAAATGTCGTATGCGCAGGAGTCGCCGAACAACACGGCTACAGATTCACGTTTATGGAGTATTTGAAGATTGGTTTTCCTATTATGATTGGAAATCTTATAGTTGCGTCAATTTATTTATTGGTCTGTCATGTTCTGTTTACGTGGCATTGAATTTTCCAATTACAGAAATATTTATTTCGGTCGGAGGATAAAAAAATACATAAAAAAATGTCGTCGATTTGGAAATCCTTCGTTTTTTAATGTACGATAAAATGTGATATATAAAAGACAACATAAAAATAATTCTAGATTAATAAACGGTATTTTATCAAATTCACCCTTAAATATATTTATTATCTAAAATAGACCTCTTCTTCTACGTAAAACATAATAAATTATTAAGTATTTAATGTTCCGAAAGAATTATTGTTATTCCTTGTATAGCCGAAGTATCAAGGCATTTTTTATTATCATATAATAGTATAAGATCCCGCTATACAACGACCTTCACCGAGATGCTTATTTAATGAAACTTATTTTATATTTAATTTAATATGTCAATAAATATAATCCATATGGGTTGCCTAGCAAATTTCAGTCCAGAGTATTTTTAATTAATATTAAAAAAAAAAATTTTTTTTTATAATTTGCATGTAGTAAATTTTTTTAACTTTTTTCAATCAATATTTTTAATCAGGGTAGTATTATATATGTATCACTATAACCTTCTTTTATACTAAAGATGTATATATACTTTAGTGTCTCATAAAAAATATACACATAAATAATTAATTGATTAAAAACAACCTAACGTTTGCATATTCTATGGGCTTCATACGTTCGATTGGTATAGAATTTATCTAATAATCATACCGGTGAAATGTTTAAAAAAATATTATTTTTTTTTTAAATTAATTAAACATACTCTGGACTGAAATTTGCTAGGCAACCCTTATGGATTATATTTATTGACATATTAAATTATATATAAAATAAGTTTCATTAAATAAGCATCTCGGTGAAGGTCGTTGTATAGCGGGATCTTAGACCATAACATACATATTCGTTTTTCACGAATATGGAAGAGTATGTATGTGAAACAAAAGCAGGAGGTTTACCACGAAATAGGTAAGTAAGAATATAGAATTATGTACTAAAACCACGTGAAATTCGTCAATCAATAGTATGAAACCATGACAACAACAAATATGTCTACTCAGAGTGGTCATTAAACTATCTCTAATTGTATGTAAGATAATGGGACAGTTTAACAAATTTAAGATAATGGGGCAGTTTAACAAATGTAATAGAATGGGACAGTTTAACAAATTTAAGAAACAGTCTTTAACGTCCTATTGGATCTATGGTGAACTTGATATTTAACTCTGAGTACCTCGGTAGGACTTGCTATAGTGCTCATGGCTCACCCAATGTATAGCGCTAGTGTACAACGCAGCAGTATTATTTTATGACTAGATTATGTAAATACCAAATAAATGTAAAACATAATGATTTTCTATTTATCATTATTGTGTTAAAGCGGCCAATCCCGCCTTCGCACCGCAATTTTTTATTAATTTAGCCTATGTTTCTTAGAATAATTATATCGATTAAAAGAAATTCTAAATCGGTCCAGTCGTTTTTGAATTAATTCAATTAGAAGATTTCTAAAAAATTCGTTGGAATATATTTATAATTAGTATACGTTATAAAGTGTTTTTCGTACAATTCAATTATAAGCTGAATCATTTTAAATTATAATCAATGTATCATATAATTTTGTTATTAAATTGAGCACGTTTTGTTGATAACGCGCGAGCGATACATTGTGATGGTTGTGTAGTATTTCTGTCGTACTATGCTTAAAATTGTCTGCCAATTGAGACCCTTGAAAAGGTTTTTGGAATAATCATGTCTTAAATTCTTGCGAAATAAAATATGTATATCAGATGCAGAAATATTTGCTATAAGTAAAGAGAGACTGCTTATGACAGTCAAAAATCAAGGAAATATGGCTTCTTTTCCTAAATAATCGTAATAAGAACGAGCCGTAGATTTTTCTATGAAAAGCAGTCAAATTCACATAAAAAACACTACGTAACAGACGTATAAGATTGTTATTCGTAATTGAAATGTTATTTTAAATATATTTTATATAAATAATCGTATTCAAAAATGATTATTAAAATTCGACCCCCATTATTATTTTGTTAAATATTTAGAAAAAAAGCGTCAAATGTGATCTATTACTATAACTAGGTACGTAATTAATAGAATTTTATTAATGGACTCAAATATATTTTGTTATACTTTCCAAAGGCCGATTATCAAATTTGTAATTTTAATATGAATTGGCCTTTAGAAAACAATTTTATAATTTAACTTGTAAAATGCTTTGAAAGCTATTATGCATGTTACGTCCAATAGATGCCCCCCAGCTCAGTGGTAAGCATTAAACAGCTGTAGTTTTTATTTAAAATATATACATATATTTAGTTTTTTATTGTAATGAGAAATAAATTCATTATTTCAGAAAGTAGACCTTAACCACTGAGCCGGTAGCGGAAACTAATGACTTACCATAATTTTATATTAATGTACTTATTGAAATTAGGCTTTAAACGTTAAAGTATTAATAAATATTTAAATTATTTATATACCTTTTTTATTTAACAACTAACGACCTCTAATGAATATATGCTTTTTCACTGTGGAGAGAAGAGCATCTTACAGACACTAGAAAATTAAAAAAAAAATATCGTTAAATTAAAAAAACATAAATAATATATCATATTTTCGTTTTTAGAAAGGAATTGGAAATTGTTATCGATACACAGTAGCTAAAAATTATACTGAAAAATTCTAATATAATAATAATAAATTTTCGAATAGCCCCCTGTGGGGCTTGGGCCTCACGATCCATATCTCTGTTTGTAACAATGTAAACAACAGGAGTGAGATTTTAAAGTTAAAAGACGAAATTGTACCAAAACCTATTACTGCGAAGGCGACCCTGTATCGCTATCAAATGGTTTTTATTTATAGAACAGGGGGTAAATAGGCAGTAGGCTCATCTGATGTGATACTTCATAGTTCATAGAAGCATTCGACGCAACGTTTTACATTCACACTACTCTACTAGAAAAAGTTAAGCATGTTTTCTACGTGTGGTAGTATTCAGGCTAGACAAAGATAAAAATAAAATATATTTATTATGGAACATAAGATACAGGTATCACTTATTCCACGTCATTAAATTTGAAACTGTAGGCATGCCTACTCATCGGCAAAGAAGACAGAGGGTGTAGGCCGAGAGAAAAAGCCGGCGTAAAAAACTCTCGGTACTCTTTTAAAATAGAAAATCAAACAACACTTATTTTAAAACAAATATCGCAAATTAATTAGAAGTAGCCTGTCTAGCACTAGTCCCAGGCCCTTTTATCAACTAGATAATCGTTAATATTTTGGAAGGCCTTTTTACACAGCTTTTCTTTAACACATTTCTTAAATTTATTAAAAGGCAGAGATAAAAGAGCCTTTGGGATTTTATTAAAGAAGAGTATCCTGTTCCCAAAAAACAATTACTAACTTTACATAGTCTAGTATGGGGAAATTGCAGCCTGCAATTTGTAGCTTTAGTACTTGATAGCTTAAGTGAAGGCTGTGATTTAATACTATCGTCTTGGATACCGCGGTTTTAAGTTTTAATTACTGTATTATACAGCTAAACATTTCTCACCAAGGTCAGAATATGGTTATAACGTGTAGTTCGCTATTGGCATATTTACTAAGTAATAATAGTTCGTATTAAAAATTAACTTCAATATTTCAACTAATATCAAATACCTGTCAACATTTATCACTTATGCTCCAAGCATACGCAATCATCATAGTATCTAATATCCACTTTCTTGAAGTCGGCTAAAATAATCAAATTCAAAATTCAGAAATCATTTAATCATATAGGTAACACAATGTACACTTATTATCGTCAAAAAAAATAAATGTATGTGAAAAACTTTACATTTAGTGCCAGTTCTCAAATCAAGGGCGTAGAACGGAAGAGAAGAACTGGCAATGAATTCTCCGCTCTTTTTAATCGCCATGTTTTTTTTTACGCAACGTTTGTAAGGAGCTGCAACCATCACACCATATTCCACATGACATGTTAAGTAATTAATAATAATAACATAAATTAAAAACAAAGACTTGTCTTCTATCAGCATTAGGCATGGCAAAATAGGAGCACGCAATTACATTTTCGTGGGAACAACACGCAAACACATAGTCGAAATAACTAATATCATCGCATACACGAATTCAAGTACGACCAGTCACCACAAGTAGCACCCGTTCACAAGTGTGACGCATGGCCAGCCATCGCGTCGGCCCCCTCGCCATATAATATAAGCGCAAAACCTTGAAACACTCAACATAGTTAATCTAACATGTGAAATATTAATGCAGACATCACTGGCGGGAGTTAGTTGAAAAACACAAAATTCTTAGAAAAGAAATGTAGAAGCTTTTGTGTATATTGTCCCCAACTTTGGAACAAAGAATGACGCATTGTTATTACCAAATCGCGTTTGGTGATGATATTTGTCTTTTAAGGATTTTTTCTGTCTCAAATTCTATTTTCTGCTGGAGATAGGTAAGTATTAATTTTACTTATGTATTATCATTCTGATGTCTTTTAACGAAATGCATTCAACACACAAATATTTATGAAGTACACACATTTATTGTGTGTTTATTTTTATCCAATTAAATTTTGACATACGGCAAAGTACGACTGAATTTTACCCTACAAAGAAATATATGTTGGTACACAACCGAGCTTCGAATGCACGACCTTCGGGTTAAGAGCAAGTTTACCCACTCTGATCGTCAAACATAGTTACGGGAACTTTAATTTTCAATCGTAAGTAGTTCCCCCTAGTTGCGTGAATAGAAACTTTTAATTTAGCTATTTGTCAATAGATGGCGTTTGACATAACAAGGTGTTAGTATATATCCGAATAGGTGGCGCCACTGTATCTAAAAAAGAGTGGTTTTAAAAAATATTTTCGCATGGTGTTAAGTTTTTTAGAACGAGCGGCAAACAGGCCTGTTCATCCAAGTGTTTGGCCAAACAGATGTTAAGTCGTACTGCCGCACGATAGCAGAAG